ATATTGTAAAATGTACATAAAATATTGTAAAATGCAAGTTCTACAATAAAACAGTTCATAAACTCTGAAACATAGTACAGCATCAATTTTACATGTGCACGTTAGGATGGAAACTTGTTAATTCAAAATTAACAGTTTTTACACCTCTCTAATTGAAATATATGTAACAATCAATATAATTCAAATAAATAATGACAAGTCCTAGAGATTATAGGAATTTATATAAATTTAATTTGGATAAAAAATAATAAACCAAGGGCTTTTTATTTTTTCCAACTTAAATTTAATTAAAAATTGGACAATTTCTCCAACCTGTCATGAATACATACCACACAGAACCACATTAATATTTTATATCACAAATCTGGAATGACGTTTGGCAATATATTCATTTTTTCGTTGATCAGGACCCAACAATTCAGCCTTATAACATCATCACATACATTAATAAAGGGAGAGCGAGATTATCCACTTGATCAGTTTTCGCCTCGACAAACGAAGACATTGCGATTGCAAAAGTAGGTTTGATAAGATTTGTGCGCGGTACGTACCCTAAAGAAATGGGTTTCAGTTAAAATTTTAAAGTGAAACATCGTGTTAAAGTTTAAAGCGTGTGTCAATACCTATGTGTATAAGTAGTATAACGACAAAAAGCTGTGATAAAAAACATGCAATAGTCCCCTCCTTGGTTTTTCTCGAACCTGTAATTTCAAAATGTCCATTATAACGACATGTATTAAAAATAAAATATGGATAATAAATTTCAATTGATTCGGAAAAAGAAATATACTTTTGAATGGTTGAAGCATGAAAAAACTTAATAAAAAACAACAAAATTTCAACATTTTGTATATTTTCTCAATGTTAAAAATATGTTTTTTATGTAAGGCCTTGTGATGAAAAAGTTTCATGAGAGGGGTTCGAACCCACAACCTTTGGCTCAATTCAGCCGGTTTGAGGCGGCATATTGAGGCGAAGGTCATGGGTTCGAATCCCTCTCATGACACCAACTTTTTCATCTCAACCAAATAAATATATAGAAATAATTAATATGGTCAATTGGACCAACATAAATGGGTTAAAAATATGGTACATATTATGAATAAATTAATTGTTTTATCCCTGATCTTTTCGATATAATTATAATATTAAGGCTGATAATGATCATATCAAGGTAATATATTAAACATTTTTAAAAGAATAATTTCAAAATTAAATTTTTTTTTCCAGAAATAAAATGCATTTGCTTTTAATAGCCCAGGATCACAAAAATGTCATAAAATTGTCAATTTTATTTTAAGAAATACTAATAATGTACAAAATAATAAGGTATACAAAAAATAAATGTTCATGTGTGGTATTTAGTGACCGTTGTTAATTAATGATTATTTGGAAATCGTGAGATGCGGTCTAGTGTGATGTAGGTTAAGAATAACATTTTCTTTAGCGTGCCAATGTTTCGATTTTTATTGAGATCATTTTCAGGGCCTGGGATTTATAAACACTGTTTAAATTATACAAATAGATGTAAGATGTGAAAAAATTAATTTATACAATGATAGAAATTTTAGACTCAAACTATTGAGTACAAATACAATAATGTTCATATAAAAAAAAATCTATTTCTATGCAAACTGGAGTATATTCGCCTTTGTACCGATAAAAGCAGCTATAATATTCAAAGATGATAGAACATCACTTTGTTCAGACATAAAACAAATAATACATTAGAACCATTTTTTGGCGCGAGACTTGTTTTTTTTTTTTTTGTAAGTTAGTTTTTTCAAGGTACGAGGTTTTCAAAGAATTTGTTTACCTGGCCATCTGTTTTTTCCGACCAAGCTGCCACAAATACTAGCTGCGGAATCCCCAATGCCAACTGCAAGAATCCCAGAAAGCAGAGGAAGCAGGTCCGAGTAATTTGGATTTGGATGGATCCAAAGTGGGAAGGAACAGCCAACAAGAAGATATATGGGCGTCAAGGCAAGAGGCCCTTCATCTTTCTCATCGGCGAATTTTAAAAATCCAGACCGAAGGGTTTCACCCAACGGGGGCATTTTGAGAATTCGAATCATCTATTGAGTGAAAATATTAATTGACTTATTTAGAGAAACACTATGGGACGACATGACATACATCCAAAGTGGCAAATATTGCAAAAACTACTCCACTTGCAAGATATATCATACATGGTTTCCAAATCACTGCTGGAACAAATACTAAAATGATGAGGCCATGAAAAATTTTTCTCACAGCAGTCGATGCTTTCTGGTTCGTGTTAATTTGCAACATTACAGCAGCTGCACCTAGTATACAGCAGAACAGCCAAAAAACTACTAACTGGATCTACAAAGCACAAACATTGTAATAACTAAAAAGCATCAGTTGAAAGTAGATTAATTGAAATTACCGCTGTAGTGTCTTCTGTGAACAAATTATAAATCCACACAAGCGGATTTTCTCCGATTGAGAGATACAAAGATGGCAATAGTACAAATGCAAAAACAAACCCAATCAAGCTGTAGAATTTTCCAGGCTGTTCCTTCATATTATGATAATAAGATACAGTGGCTATCACCATTAGGCACAAGTTTCCAAGCTAAAATTAAATATTATAAGCATTCATATAAACGTAACCCTATGACAAAATAGTTGATGTTTAAGTTAAATGCTAAAAAAGTATTTAACCATTTAAATTAACCTGGATCATTGTGGTGGCAACAGAAAAACAGTTCATCTGTGGCTGTACTTCCCTTACTGCAGATGAAAAAATAAATAAGATGAATCCTTGGCAAACCGTTGTGCATTCTCCATAAGTAAAATTTTTTGGGCACAGTTTCATCACTGGCAAAATGGTTTTATGATAAGAGAATATGCTTAAAAACCCAAATAGAATGCTCAAAATTGGCCCTGGAAAGTGATTTCATTTAGTGGTAAAATAGTGGAAAGTGGTTTAATTAATTTAATACACAATTTGTTACTAGAATTTAGAACTGGGAAGTAGTATTTATGCAAAATATGATGTTTATAATTTTTGTCTTTTAAAATTGGAGGAAGCTAATGTGGAGGAAGCTTCAATATGAAAGATTACAACAATCTCTAGCAAACCTGACAGATACTTTTTGATTTACAAAAAAAATTAAATTAAATGTTTAAAAAATTTAAGATTTTTTTTTAAACAAATTTATTTTTAATATGCCTGCCACTCCACCAAGTTCTTTTGACAACAATCTGAAGAGATCCTATCATCGTCAGATCTCGCAAATCAGAAAGCACTTTTGGAGGAATGGAGTAGATAAGCCAAGAAGACATCTCAAATTTCATCATAAGAAATTTCAATATTTCACGATACAGTATTTAAAATTGGTTGTAGATGTAGATGATTAGTGAGGGCGTATTTTATACTGCACCCTTTAAGAGCTATCGTATCCCTCATTCTGTGCTTAAGGCATACTGGTAAGTCCTAGTTCATCAAGGAATTTGATTAGTAGGCCTGGTTTCAGTGGTTGAATTTTTTCTACGGTTACACTGTACATACCAAAGCACTTCTTCTGTGGGCAAGTGTAGCACAACAGTTTGTTAACATGTATTGGTGTTTCCTCTGCTTCTTTACCCACTGGATAGTGGACTCACTGGGTAAGATTATGCCAATCTTCTTCAAATGTCTATTTAGTTTGCAGTGTCCTGTTAAGAATCCTGTTAGGATTTGTAGGGTTTTCCTGCTTCTCTACCTTCTATTACTTCTTTCCTTCCAAAATTGGAATAGGAGGTTCTTGGATTGTTTATGTCCAATGAGTGAGTTCCATTGTTCTCTCATTTTCTTTTTATCTTTCTGTTTGAGGTACTCATTGTCAGTGTGGGTTCCTAAGCCACAAAAGGAAAAGGGTTCGGGTCCTTTCAGAGCAACGGCTATGGTAGAAAATGATTTTATTCATTCTGCTGATGCTGAAGAAATTGTTTTTGTTAAAGGAAGGTAGTGTTCAAAAATCTGTGACATATCATAAGGTTTAAGAAAGAGGTGTGACATTTGACAAACCAATCATTTAGTTTTGATGAAGCTTTGAAGAAGTTAAAATCAGGTAAAAATTTACTAGGTACAAATGGAATCCTGACACCAATAATAACTGACACCGTATAGCAAGTATTTTCTTGCAAGGGTGTGTGTTTTCTTGTTGTCTTCTACTCCCACATGTCCTGGGATCCGGCAGAGGCTGACTTTTTTTAAAAATTGAATAATTAAAATGAAAACATTATTAACTATATGTTTTTATAATTTAATTATTTCTAACACAAAGTATTTAAATAGATAAGGTTTTTAAAGTAAATGTGTTAGTTCAGTTTGAAAACTTATGTGAATAGTAGGACATAGATTGGACAGTACAGGTGTCTGGACCATGAGTGCCGGTACAATTTAAAGTAGAAATTAAAAGTACCTTTTGATGTGAAAATGTACAAAAGTATAGTTGAACTGGTACAGGAAAATATTACAGCTCCAAAGGGAGTTGGCTTCCGATAATAAGCGTTGAACATATCAATGACAGATTGTACTAGGATACCAGTGCAGATACATGCTGCAACTTGGTATTTGAGACTAGATTCGTATTTAATTCCACCAAGGATCACCGCAGAAGGTAGAAGTAGAGAGAGCCAAACACCAGACCCAGCATCTTTCCTGAATGGACAAGATAAATATGTAAAGACTTCTACAAAACATATACAACGTGATTTACCTCGGTTCTATATTATGCTCGGCTAAATTACAACTAATCTGCTTGTTTATGGACGTTAAAAAAGAGTGAGCCATTTGAATTCAGTGGGGAACGTTGGATTTGATGGATGGACAGGTATTTTTGACTTCCTCCTTACATCCCATCTGATGGTACGGATGTCATTTTGCCCGATTTAAGGTCAGATTTGGAAAAAACAGTACCAGTTGGACTTTTGGACTCGGCACTCAGAGTTCAAAGTTTATAAGGTTACTTAACTGTTAAACCGGAATGAACACATTAAACGACCACAGGTTATTTATTTCTCTTGTTGATAGTGTAGTTTCTTTCAAACATTTTCTTTTTAAATAATTGAAATAAATATTTTTTAAACATGACATCTGAATCCAACGTAAAACCCATGAGTTTATCGAAAGGAAATGAATTTGTTGGAACAGGAATTCCTTCACTGGACGCTGTTATAGGTAAATTGTTCTTGTAATACCACGTTTACATTTAACAACGTGCTTTAATAAGTCATATATTTAAAATAATAATAAATACAGATTAATTATAATTAATATTGTTTCACTGTTTTGTTTTCTAGGTGGAGGGTATCCTGTGGGATCACTTGTTCTGATAAGTAAGGTGATCTGTTGGTATTTTAAAAAAAATTTTTGTCAACACTTGTAAACTTATGTGCAGTCTGCAAATAAAATACATCATAAAACATACATAAAATCATAAACACTAATCTGAGTGGGTTTAGATTTGGAGCCTAGCCTGGCCTAGCTGTTGATAGCCTCAACCTCGGTAACAGTACGAATAAGTCTGAAGTCTGACTCTAGAACTAAACATTGCAATCACCACAAAGAGAACGGCCAAAAGTTGGTTTATATTTTTATGTGGAAATTCAGAATCTTAGTGCTGTAGAGATTTGACTTCCTCTTTCCTTTTATTTTCATTATCTGGAGAGAGAAAGCATTTTAAAACTGCAGCAAACTTTTTTTTTCCAATTAAAATACCATAGTTAGTAGTCTTTAGATTAACATCTGATTTATCCTCGAGACAAAATGGTGAAGGCTTTTAACTGATTCTGAAGCGAAACATTCTAAAGGGCTGCTTTGAGCAGCAGTGCAAGGAATCATCACTGCAGTGATCATTATTTCCTAGCCTAAGTGATAAAGTTTTAAAACATTTTTGAGTATCACTATAGACATGTATTTAAAAAAAAAGTTATAATGCTCTATATCAAGAATATTTTAAATTAATGGAGTATAGGACTGAGATTCGATCTCGGACAGACACCCAGGGCTAGTGATTCTTGAGACTTACTGGTAATTTTGTAAATATTCAAAAGTTGAAATAGATAGTGGATTGCAAGAAGTGATAGGCTCAACTCTCTACATGTACGTACGTACGTGTATGTGTCTGTGCAGGTTTGAGCTTATATAAATCAGTAATTAGTTTAAAATAATGTTTTAAAGATAAAATTACCTTTGCTTCAATATCTTTATCTAATTCGATGTTTTCATACGATGTTGTGATCATTTCTTGAGCATTAGTTGCCATTTGTCCTGGATAGTAGAAACTAAATGGAAATGGTATCGCCTTACTATACCATGGTCTAATGACTCCATTACTATTTTTTGTATCTATCCAACTAAAAATTAAAATGGAATAAATAAAATTATGTAGCAATTGGGCTAAAAAAAATCACAGTAAAATAGTTTTTGAAATTGTCTGGCAATTGAAATATGTTACATTATCATCCACTTTTGTACTCACGAAAAACAAAAATAGCTGAATTGAGCTTATATAAATCAGTAAATTACTATCATCAGTTAAACAAAAAACCTGGATGCTTTTGTAATCTAATCTTATTCAGAAAAAGTAAGATTTAATGATATTAATTTTAAATACGTTTTTTTTCCTTAAAGGGGTTTGCAACAGCAAAAGTCATATTAACCCTTAAGGTGCCGGTGTTTTTGGAGAAAAGCCTTTTTGTATGTTGTTCGAATGGGCTGCTTAATTCAAACCTGGGACCTTTACCGTACCGTGATGAGTCCCGTTGTGGCCATGTTTTGTTTTTGATATTTCTATATATTTGCAACGAGGTAACACTTGTCATGGGAGGAGATTTTATAACTAAATCATGGCACTTTTCAAATATTTTTAGGTAGATCTGACCTTACCTTGGAATAATTAGATTTTATAGTTCTTTTTTATTTTCTCTTTCTTTGTAACAAATCGTAGAAAGAACAAATAAAAGCAAAAAAGAACTGTTTGGCTAAATGCCATACCATCAATGTAAAAAAAAGAGGATTGATATAGGGGATTTTACATATTAGCGATAGGGAAAGAATAATATTTATTTATTTAGAAAATAACAGATTTATATAAAACATTTGGGCACTCTCAACACGACAGACAAGAATGACACATCTACATGGGAAACAAACTCTTTGAGCCCTCAAGATGATCTCAATGAAGATCGAAACGTTGGCACGATAAAGAAAATGTTTTTCTAAAACCTACGTCACACCAGACCGCATCTCACGACCTCCAAATAATTATTGGGGGGGGGTTGAGGGGAGTTGTTCAGCATACTTCTCATTTAAATTATGAATTTACTTGGTCACTGCTGGCTGGAGGGAGCAACACAAATGGCCCAGAGATTCTGTTTCTGTTTCTCCGTTTGAACACAATTTCCACTAGGTGGTGGGAAGAGGTGTTCGTCTGGTGTTAAAAAAGTGAACAATTTGGCATTTGTTAAGAAGTTTTCTCCCTTTATGGCCAAGACACCTTGTAGTTGAATTTCATTACGATAGGCTATTTGTAGAAATGATAAAATTGGAGTGAGCATGTTGTTTAATCATTTTAAAAATAAACTATTTGTTTCTGAATATCTTCTCCAAAGTGGGAAATGTGCTTTAGAAAGGCATGTGTTATCTTGAATAATAGAATTTGTTTTATCACAAATCCTATTACTAGCCTCACCTTAATTACTAGCCATGAGAAGTATGCTCCATAATAAAATGATACTTCATATTAGACTTCTAAATGTACATATGAACAAAATCAAAACTTATCTTGTTAATTATTAATTTTTTGTTACATAATTGCAGATCAGGATGAAGAAGGCATTTATTCAGACCTATTTATGAAAGTGTTTATAGCCCAAGGTCTTGTTAATGATGATCATCTGATTTTTGCTAGTAATGACTGTGATACAAAACGAGCGGTGTGCTAACTTGTTCTATAAAACTTCTTTTAATTATTACTACTAAAACAATTTTTTTTAAGGTTGAACATTTACCATGTCTTGCTGATGTTGAAACTGAAGAATTGGAAAAAGTGCCCTCTGGATCAATGCAAATAGCCTGGCGATATGAAAAACACTACAAACCCCGCATAGAAGTTAATCGGTACAGGACTTTGAGTAATAATTTCTTCTTCAAACGCTCAGGTTTGCAGGATAAATTCAACAGTTCAAATATAACTCACTGGCCTGGAAATGGTGATAATAACAGTAACTGTACAAAATAAAACTATATTCTTTATTATATTAATTACAATGTTTAGGCCCTGGCACATTTCAAGATTTGGAGGAAACTATTTTGACAGCTTTAAGAGTTAATAATTTTCAAAATAACCGAAAGAGAGATGATAAAAGCATATTACGGGTTGCCATACAAAACTTAGGTTCATTTTTTTGGAACAATAACCAAAAGGAAATACCACGTTTTCTCTTTCGGCTGAGGTCGATTTGCCACTCTTCAAGAGCTGTTTTCCTTATTACAATGCCAAAACATCTTATGGAGGTAATTAATACAAAAAAAGGTGTAAAATATATACAAATCAAGTTCTGCAAAATTAATTCACTACTTTTGTGGTCCGCTTGACCAATTAATACATGACAATTAATTAAGGTTTTTAGTTGAGATGAAAAAAAGTTAATGGCACGAGCGGGATTCGAACCCACGATCTTCGGCTAGATACACCACTGCTCTACCACTTGAGCTATCATGACCTCAATCCACTCGGACATCAACTTCCTATCTCAACCCCACCTTATGAGTTTTCCCTCCTTTTGCCATTTTTCAAATGTCGTGTAATCGGGTTTGATTCTCGACGACAATTGAAATGGCGACAGAGAACTTTTTCATATCCACTAAAAACCTTAATTAATTGTCATGTATTAATTGGTCAAGCGGACCACAAAAGTAGTGAATTAATGATTTAAAAAATGAAGTACATTTCACTAAAGCTCCGTCGCCATTTCAATTGTTGTCGAGAATCAAACCCGATTACACGACATTTGAAAAATGGCAAAAGGAGGTAAAACTCATAAGGTGGGGTTGAGATAGGAAGTTGATGTCCGAGTGGATCGAGGTCACGATAGCTCAAGTGGTAGAGCAGCGGCATATCTAGCCGAAGATCGTAGGTTCGAATCCCGCTCATGCCATTAACTTTTTTCATCTCAACTAAAAACCTTAATTAATTGTTCTGCAATATGTTAAACCTGTACCTTTATCATCTCAGATAAAGGATGACCTAGAACAGGGCACTGATTTTGTCTGTCAAGTGCAGTTTGGTTGCATCTTCCATTAGGTTGCCTTGTAAATTGTGTTAATTTATAAGTAAATGAAATAGCCACTAAAGATAAAGATGTGAAATGATCAAAACAGACAAAACCAGACTGTTCAGAATGCTAACAAATAATTTTATGCCGATCATATAGACAGTTATCTGTTAAATTCTTCAAATTATTCCAGGAGGATTATTTTTCTACAAGAAGTGAGCAGATGAGTGATATAGTAATTTCATTAGAAGCTCTAAACGGAGATGCAAATCCGCTTTACAGCGAATATAACGGACTAATCAAGTTCATTAAAGTCAGCCCTATCAGAACCCTTTGTCCGAGTGTAACAGAAGGCAAAGATTGGGCTTTTAAACTGGTCAAGAAAAAGCTAATCATAGTGGTTTGTCATTGTGGCTTTATAGACTGAAATGTGATATTTTAACATTTTTATATTTATTTTAGAGGTTAACACTTCCACCAGAACTAAATGACTCGACTCAAAGGGAACAAGATACTTTTTCATGTGCTACATCGAACAAAATTTTACAGTTTTAATGTAACATTTTTTATGTAAATGTGTAAATAAAGTTATACTTTTTTTTTTTTTATATCAAAAATAAGTTTTAACTGAGGGACTATGGTGGCTGTCATTAGGACCTCCAATTCATGTTTGTCATGTTAGTGGATCTAGATTTCAATCTTAGCTAACACCCAATAATCAGTATAAAATAAAAAACATATATAAACCTTATATTTATTATTTCATTTATTAAGTGTAAAATGAAAAATGATGAAATTATAAACATAAGTTAAAAATCTAATATAAACACAAGCGAATTAAAATTTTTCAGGATAGTAGGTTTTTGCAAATTTAGCCCTCCAGCCCATCCAATGTCTTTTCTTGGGCCTAAATTTCTTAGGTATGTACTCATGCATGTGTTCATAGTATTTCCTTTCTTCTAGAGGGTTTTGCCCCCTTTCAAATGGCCTATTTCTAGCTTCCAACATCCTTGTATTGAATTTAATTTTATAAATTCTCTCCCAATCATAAATTTCATATGGAAGCTTATGCCTCGGCCTGGAAAAAAGTAAACACAATAACAAAGGATTGGACAATTTAAAAAGAAAATTTGTAATACCTATTGCTGTACATGTGCTTAAATTGTTTATGTAACCATTTTCTTCTTTCCTCGTCTTCTATTTCTGCGAGTTTTTGTTCAGCTGGGTTTAAAAATGGTTTCAGATCCACTCCTGACCTTACCTGAGGTTGGTTGAGATAACATGAAATAAGAGTTGACAAAACTGAATCATCCCAACCTTAAAAATTACAAAAAATAAATTAATAACTTGCATTTTTCCCTACCAGCTATATTACTTTATAGAATTTTTCAAAAGGATGCCCGCATTTTATAGTTCAAGTTTGTTAAAAAGCAAATGATGATTTACGAAATTTGGTAATAATGACATTCAACTGTGTGTGAGCATCTGACAATGAACCACTGAGTATGGGTGTAACATTTCTATCGTTATAAAATTTTATTATTAACCATTAAAACCACCATTTTTTTAAAAACTCACTACAATATTTATCTCATCAGATATAATTATTTCCTTACATGTTTCATGTCAATTAGTCTTAATGCATATTTTTCATTATTTGCTAAACTGAACTGAATATGACGAACAATAAAGTTATCCACATAAAAAAGACAATTACCAACAAACTCATTTCCTTTTATTTCTTGATACAGCTGAGAAGAAGGAAGAGCTACACAAACGTTTAATCTTGGATTTTTTTCTGTAAAGTCTGAATGTAAGAGAGTAGTGTTTAACTGATAGAGATAAAACGAGAAATTTCTTCCATCTGATAATATATGTTGACTCACAAATGGATACGTCACGTCTGAATATGTTGAAAAACCTAAAAAGTGGCAGAATAATTAAAATTCAAACAACGGGCTTTTATAACGTAACAAACCTTGGTAACAAGCCTGAGCGTGAGTCCAGCTAAAACCAGCCAGCACGGCCTGGGCTTGCAGGGTCTCTTTAAGTTCTTTTTCTCCAAAATGAGGTGGACGATCTACCACATGTCCTTGTTGATGATATGAAAGTATACCAAACTCGTGTTTATCTCCAGGCCAAAAACCTTAAAATAAAATGATATAACAATTTTCATTATTACATTTTAGAAAATAAAAATGTTTTTAAAAAACCTGGTATGTTAGTTCCAAAACGTCTTTGAAAATTTAAATTGTAACTTAAGGAGGGATCGTGATCCATCTTTGGAACAAGTACGTTTGGTTCTTTATTTTGATTATATTCTGGTATTCGTTCAGTGTCCAAAACTTGTAGTGGTAACGTAGCACGTAGCTGAAGTAAAGGTTTACCGAAATATTGTACCCAATGTTCAACCTGCAACCATTTTTACTTATAACAATAAATATTAATGGTATTAGAGTGCATATTACCAATTCTGTAGTATTGAGCAATTGTACATTTCTCTCGCCTTCATTGTCTTTATTAAATTTCTCACGTTCGTCAATAAGCTGTTGAGACGGTTGGAAGTTTCCGACTAACCAAAAAGCTTCCACTCTTGGATTGTAATCAACCTTAAAAAAATAATTAATAAATAAAACATTAAATTTAGAATTGTAATAACATAATAGCAGTTACCATTGTTTCAAGTAGATGTGGGTATTGTGTTGACAGGGAGGAGAGTAATATTTGATTTATACTTTCAAGTATTGGCCTAGAGGCTTCATTGTTAATATCCGATTGTGATTTGAAAAACTCACTTTCTACATCTATTTTTTTCCTGAAAAATGTATTATAAATCAATTGGGTGATTGATTTTACATGTTACCAACATACATCATGAAATTTTAGAAATGCACAATACACTTACTTTTTACAGTTAAGTTCTAACAGAAGTGCTTCTTGCAGGTAAGGCCTAATCCGCTCGACAAGCTCCTTGTTTTCATCCACAACCGTTTTTTGTATATTATGGAATTCCTCTCTTGAAACTTCATGAACGTAAGTCCTTGTCACATGCTTGGCAAAAGGCATGAATTTGTATGGGTAAACACCTTCAGTCAGGATTAGAGAATTCCAGCCATAGTACTTGTCGAGATTTATGGCGAAGAGTTTCTCCTCGACGGTGTTCATCACTTCGATGTTCTTAGCTTTCTCTTGCCTCTCCCTTACCTTCACTGCTTCTGGTGACAAATCCAAAATAGGAGGGTATTTTGCTTCATTTGTCTCTATTAAGCTTGTGGAACAGTAATTCCTTCTAAGGATAAAACTGAATTTTCTAACTATCTTCATTTTTCTCTCACGTTTGTTTCTACTGCATACTCATCTCATATTACTATACTAAACTGCAAAAATATTAAACAAAGGTCTTCAATAAAAAACCGTTTAATTTTTAGAATATCAACGAGGTTAAAACTAAGCCTAATTTGTTTGTAGGTTACAGAATATGATAAAAGGGTAGTTTTCTGTAACCTCGGTTTTGTTATGATTTTGCCTCAGTTGATTGTACTCTTAATTTTAGAAATGCACTCAATGTAAAAAATGTTACATGGTATAAATCATGTTGAATCCAAAACTTAACATTTGTGTATTAGCTTCCTTTTTTTTCTTTGGGACATCTTCTGAAATTGAAGAGTGTAATTTTGTTTTGACTGTGTCAAGGAATATTAACAAGCTCGGTTTTCACAGGCAGGCAGAGATTAATAACCAGTACATTGTGAATATGTGTTTTATAATTATTTTTCTTAAATTATAGGGATTTGTCATATTCGTTTGAATTAATAACCAACGGTGTTTGGGAGGAATGTCGACTTTGTATAGAAGAGCAAATACCGAAAGGTCTATTTGTCAATATTAACCAAATTGAAGATCTTGAACGTTTTGGAAAGGTATACACTTTAGTTGTAACAGGATTTATTATTGCTAATGTTTGTTTTATATATTCTGAGACCAATTTTGCAAATCTATGACTGACAGTGATCAAAGTAGACTTTTGTTATAATTGCTATCATTATTCGTCCTTTCGTTATTCACGCTTTTACTCATCTGCATACCCTCCTAGTTGAGAATGCTGTGAATCATAGAAAAACAACTGATATTTTATATATTATCTTTTTTAGGCTCCTAATTTTTCTCTCATTTGTTTCAACATCGTGCAAAGGTGCATACCAGTTTGATGTATGAATGTACAAATTATTTTCCTGCATCCTTTACTTATGTTACTGTGCATTGTATTTTTCTTATTAAAAAAAAAAACCCTGAAATATATGTACATAAGTTTATACTAACATTGATAATAGGCACGATGCAAAAAGTGTCTAATTTCTGATTTCTTCTGCTGATAGAAGAAAATGCTTCAAAGCCTGAAATTCGAGGTGTTTCCTTTTACCACAGTAATAGTTATCTTGTTATAAAATGTAACTTAATACGCTTCCATTGATGCCCTCTAAACTGTGATTATAAGATCTGTGATATTAACTTTCTTCACTAGACTCCATAAAGGACCTTGGGGTAATTTTTGATTCTAAGTAAACATTCATTGAACATATAGAATATATAAAAAACAAATGCCTAAAAATGCTAGGTTTCGTTAAGCTTAATGCAACTAATGTAAATAATGTCATTAAAAACCTATATTTCACTTTGGTCAGGTCCCACTTAGAGGGACCAACTCACCCACCTGTTTGGTCACCCTATTGCAGTAATCATGTATATACTTTAGAAAAAGTGCAAAACAAATTTTTAAGATTCTGTGGAGTCAAACTACAAATATGTCTTGAACCAGATGGCCAAACCATTCAACTGAGATCCGAATTAGGTATAAATTCTCTAGAATCTAGAAGATCAATGATTGATGCTCTAATACTTTTCAAAATAATTAACAATATAATTAAATGCCCCTCTCTACTAGAAGAGATAAAATTTCATGTACCTGCCTATAGAAATAGATAAACAAAGTTGTTTTAAATAGCATACCATAAAAACAATTGTAAGAAAAATGCTTATAAAACAATAAAGTGTGTAAACGACCAACTAGATATATTTTACCAGTCACAAAACTGTTATAAAAAAAAGAATTATTGTCAATTCTAAACCACTGAAGGAAATCATGTACATATTCAGGTCTGGTTATACTATTTATGATGTATTTGTTATATTTGTAAATGCCTCTATTATGAAGTTTGTAATGTATACTTACTGTGTAAATGGAAATATTTTCCGTAAATAAAGAAATATTTATCATGGGTGATGCTTGGTAAACATTCCTCGCAAATAGTCTACAGTATGCTTTATTATCTGGTGCAGTACACGTTTTAATTTTTTCCATTGAGGCAATTAACTCTAAAGCTGGTTTCATTCTTCTGACTGTCTGATAAGCTTTTTCAATGTCTGACCTTTGAAATTCTATTTAATTTACATGACTGCACATAGTTAAATACAATTGGACTTGTTCAAGAAAATGGACAGCTAGCCCTCATTTCAACCAGTTAGTTCCATCAGTGCTCTATGCATAAATGTTTGGCAGGTTTAACAGTGTTTCTGTCAGTAATATTAACTATTTACACCAAATTGAACAAAGATGAAAAAACACAGTTATTTATAATTTACAATACCATTTTTAAAGATGTTCCCAATAAGTGAAGTTTGGTCCTTTTCGATCATGTTGGGCTTCACTGGTTTGCCTACCAAAAGATTTGAAATGACCAACCGAAGTTCATTACTAATTGAAAACACCAATAATAAGTATGAACATACAAAATTGAAAATTATCAATTTTCAAAACACTTCGATAGGAATTCTAGAGAAATTTGTTTGTTATAAACAAGTTAATTGTGCAGTAAAATTAAAATATTGAAAACTAATTTTTCATTAATACTTGTGCTCTTCCTTTGACGCAGGTTTGAATCTCAAAGTTTTCTGTCAGTTACATTTTAATTTTGCCTTACTCTCTCTTTTTTATAAGTTCTACTATTTATTATTTGAGACAGTTATTTATTTGCAGGAGGTTAGGCTCACTACACGCTTGCGATATAGGTTTGGAATATATCGATATATGTTTGAAATATATGCGATATAAAGTTGGATAAATTTATATATATATATATATATATATATATATTTCTAACATAAAATGTGAGGAAAGATTCGATGGCAAGGTTGACAAAAGCTTGTCAAATCTGTTGTTTCTGATGATCAGATTCTATAAAAGGAAATAATGACAAAGAGGCAATATTCTTCTTTTTACATTTTTCTAAATTAAACCATCATAAAAAATAATATTTATTTTATTCCATATTTGTAATTTGATCCTTACTGATCATCTTGGCTTGCCATCCTCGCTGGGTTTGTCTGTTGGACATGTTTGCCTTCTTCAGTCTTGGACTGATACACTCTAACATAATTTTCAACTTACAGACGAACCGAAAATGGTAGTAAATGCCGAAACTGCATCTGACGGACCAACTCAGTGAGTATAGGCAGAGAAATCAGTAAGGGTAAAATAACAGGTTCATCACTTTGCAGACAAAATGAAGGAATTTCACAATCTTCCATATTTGTTAATTACAATGGTCATCCACTATAATCTGCTATACTTTTATGTTGCTTCACCCATTATTTATTTATTTTATTATATTCCTTAATTTTACAGATTTCTGCATTAGTCAACGCAACAGATAATATTGAAAAACCTGAAGATGAGTCAGAGCCTCAAAATGTCAAGTTGTATACAAATCTTACCCGAACTTTTAACATTCTGACCTCCTCGGTCAATCTTCCTTTTCATTTCCGTTATCATGAGGCCCAACCAAACGGAGGCTTTAAAAAGGCTGTGATCGGCCCTCCATCTGTATTCATGACCTGCTTGCTATCTCCAACTTTCTGTAGATCTAATAATTTTGTGGAACTTCCTTGCTCTTCTGAAGTTCAACAAACGTGCTCGTTTCAGCCCATGAATTACCACATTGTAAGTTTGAAACCAGTTTTATATTTATTTTTGATATTTTTACCGATAGATTTAAAAATAATATTTTTTTCCCCATAGAATTTAGAATATCTTGAAATAGATATTCCAGTTGGTGATACAAATCATTATAACTTGGTGTTATTTTTCACCTTATTTGTCACAAGCTCAGGAGCAATTTATGTATTAACAGTCATTGTAAATAATAAAAGATTTGATTAAAATTAATTATTTTTTAATACCCTGTTTGTGTTCTTATGATAGTATATATGTATAAAAAAAGAATCTGTCGAAAAAAAATTTTCTCAAATTAAGTCATAGACCGACCACTGAATATGGTGAATGGCTAACATGGGTACATGTAGTCAATCTATTGTATCTAAACAATAAAAACATACAAGAGTACATCCAGGTTTAATTTTGAGCCCAATTCATACTTTTTTTGAAATTCGTTGTTTGTCATCAAATACGACATGAATTATTCCTTTCTTTCCATCTTCCTTTTTTTCAGGCTGTTTCCTTTTACCTTTTTTTTCTTTCCTAATGTGATTTCGTCATTCAATTATAAATAATTAATATTTTATATATTATTTAATTTAATGAATATATTATTGTCTATATTGTTTTGTATATTTTTATGTTTTGTTATTAGTATTGTTATTGCTTTTTTTTTTTAGAGACAGGTTGTTTAATAATTTGGTGGATTCGTGTTCCTAGCACTATTCTTGACTGTTCCTCACGAATCCAACAAATTATTATTATTGCTATTATTATTATTTTACTACGTTTATAAAGCTAAATTTATTTTTAAAATATGTACATGTAAGGGGGCTTAAGCCCTATTTGTACCAAAAAAGAAATAAATAAGGGACTTGTTTGGCAAGTATTAGGGCTAGGTCGATTCCCTTAATCGATTTCACCTGTCGAGAATAACAGTTTGATCTTCAAAAGGTTACACTTTGAGTTTAAAGCTTTAAACTATCACGTGTCGCCCATAAACTATAATTTTTTTTTTTTTTAGCATTTTATGTTTTAATCATGGTAAAACGCAAATTGCCTAGCAAGTCGGAAGTGTTGGGGCAAGAGGAAGAAAAAGCGTTTGACGATTATGAACTATTGAAGCCCGATGGTGAAATTAAAACTGATGAGGACAGCTCTGACGATGAGGTGGGTGAAATAGGCGGTGACAGTTCCGACGAAGATGATGAAGACGGGGCTGGCGAACCGGAGAGCGAAGATGATGAAGACGAAGGTGGCGAGGATGATGAAGGAGGCGAGTCGGATGCGACCGTCGGGAGCGATGAGTTGGAATGGGAGAGCGATGAAGATGAGGATAAAACGGAAAATAGTTTAGACAAATCCGTCAATGGTAATAAAGAGACACCAGAAAAACATGCGGAACCCGTTGATCCTCCGACTGTGACAAAAGATGAATATGAAAGTGGAGACACATCTGATGAAGAGGATCTTAGAAACACCGTAGGCAACATCCCAATGAATTGGTACGATGATTACCCACATGTCGGTTATGACTGGGGTGGTAAGAAGATATTAAAACCCCAGCATGGAGACCAGTTGGATTATTTCTTAAAGAAAATGGAAGATCCAAATTTCTGGAGGACAGTTAAAGACCCTCAGACCGGTCAAGATGTAATATTAAGCGATAAAGATATAAATTTGATTAAAAGATTAGAAAGCCAGAAGATTCCGGATGAATCGTTCGATGAATACGCTCCCTGGGTGGAGTGGTTCAGTTCTGAAGTTATGCAAATGCCTTTGAGGAAATTTCCCGAGCACAAAAGGTCTTTTGTGCCGAGCAAGGTCGAAATGAAGAGGGTATCTAAGTATGTGTACGCTTTGAAAATGGGTTGGATGAAAACTAGAAGAGCGATGAAGGCCAAACAGAAAGCTTTGGAAGAGAAAGGACCGCAGTTCTATTTACTTTGGCAGAGTGATGATGCCGCTGAAGAGATGAGGAGGATTCAGAACCATATCCCGGCTCCCAAGAGACCTCTTCCAGATCATTCCGAATCGTACAACCCTCCTGAAGAATATCTGTTTAATAAAGCGGAAATGAAGAAATGGGAAAGGGAGAAGAAATCTTTAGGAAATAAAAAACTTCATTTTGTACCACAGAAGTATAATTCGTTGAGGGAAGTGCCTGCTTACAAACGTTTCATACGGGAAAGGTTCCTTCGTTGTCTTGACCTTTACATGTGCCCTAGGGCTATCAAGATGAAATTGACTATAGAACCGGAAGATTTAGTGCCACAGCTTCCAAATCCAATGGATCTTCAACCGTTCCCTACTACGATGGTCATCGTGTATACAGGACATACGGACATGGTGAGGTCGATTACTGTTGATCCAAGTGGTCAGTTTTTAGCATCTGCTTCTGATGACGGTACACTGAGATTGTGGGAAGTTAGCACTGGGCGTAACCTTAGGACTGTTGAGCTAGGTGGAATTGCGCGAAGTGTTGCTTGGTGCCCGAATCAAGCATTGAGCCTTATAGCAGTTGCATCTGATCGAAAATTATTTATTATTAACACAAAGCTTGGTGATTCTCTTGTTATATCCAAAACTGATACTCTCCTCTCAGAACTACCGGCTGAAGATAAAGTAATGTCTGACAGAATCAAGGCTGCAGTCCAATGGGAACATGTTGAAAATAGTGAATTGTACGATTCCACCGTTAGAATAATACTAAATCATTTTAAAGAAATCAAACAAGTTTCTTGGCACGGACGTGGTGATTATTTCTTCACGTTAATGCCTGAAGGTGAAAATCGATCTGTTTTGATTCACCAACTATCTAAAAGAAGATCTCAGCTTCCGTTTTCAAAGACAAGAGGTCTTGTCCAAGCTGCTCTTTTCCATCCGACAAAGCCTTTGTTCTTTGTTGCGACACAGCGGAACGTCCGTGTCTACGATTTGGTCAATCAAGAAATGATGAAAAAATTAATAACCAATTCAAAATGGATTTCTCACATGGCAATTCATCCAGGCGGTGATAATCTACTTGTAGGAACGTACGACAGAAAGGTTTTGTGGTTTGACTTAGATCTATCGACTAAACCTTACAAGACTCTATCGCTTCATAGCCAGGCAGTGAGGAGTGTCGCATTTCACAAAAGATATCCGCTCTTCGCTTCGACTTCTGATGATCAAAGCTTAATTATTTCTCATGGAATGGTGTACAATGATCTTTTGCAAAATGCTCTAATTGTGCCTTTAAAACGATTTAGCTGTCACAAACAAGTTAACGATTTCTCTATTTTTGATGTTGTTTTCCATCCTTACCAGCCTTGGGTATTCACAAGCGGTGCAGATGGTACTGTAAGATTATACAGTTAAATATAAAGAGTACCAGTTGTAAATATTTAAAATTTGTATATAATTTATTTTAAACAAATAAATATTATTCCAAACAAATTATAAATGAACTCTTGCTTTATTTAGTATTTTAATTACAACCACTTTTATTGAAGTATAAAAAGCCTAATTGCCTGTCATTGGTTAAGTGCAGCTTTTTTGTATTTTAAATATATTTTTCTTTTTTTATTTAGTTGATAATCATTGAACACAGTCTGAAAAATCCAGCTTTATTACAAATTTGGCATTGTTGATTTTTCTGACATATGTCAACATAATACACAAAGGGGTTAATGAAAACATTAGGATATGTACTGTAAAAAAAAAAAATTTTTTTATATACAATAAATAAAAATTATACACATGAAATCTTGTCTTAAACTAAATTTAATTCCAAACGTTCACAAGTCCATTTGAACGTATCTGGAGGATCGGCATTAAATTCTATCAACTCTTTATTATTAAAGTTATGAATTAAAGTTTTGTTTAAATGGAGATGCAGCGGGACCATCAAATCTTTCCTGTCTACAATGTCAAGTCTTTTCTTAATTTCTTGAGGCAGCTTCTGCAAAAACAAGAAAATTAATAATCTTCATTTCTAAAAAACTATGCCTGTACATCTTAGTACCTGGGGGCTAAGCGTAGTCTGGCTTAATATATCCACGAGTACAGGAGAACCTAAGACGGTTTTTACTCTCGAGCCGAATATATTGTCGCCGAGAACAGGACATAACAGATTAGTCGATAAGAATGTCCGAACACAGTACCATCGGTTTCTCGTGGTCGAAACAGAAACAAGACTCGCATGATCACTTGAGTTAATTGTATGGTAATGGATTATAACACTTGACACATCACCCCTTTTCGCTGACTTTTTACTATAAGTCGTTACCAACATACCCTTAAAAAAATAATAATAATTACCAATACTAGCAGGATGTTTAGTAAAATTGGCAGTTTACCTTTTTTTGTTTCTTATTAACAAGGCTTTGCTTTAATGTAATGCCTCCTTTAAATTCTCCTTGATAAGATGTAGGCGAACCGACTACTACTGCAATGTAGTTATCCTGTGGGGTGGCAAGTGACCTCATTTTCGTTAACGCAGTTTTAACTTTGAGAACAGTGTTTTCATCAGTGCAGAAAATAGCCACTCCAGAAGTATATCTGTCTTAAAAATAAAACAATGAACACTATATACCAATTTTTATTTTTTATTATCATTTTTGTTTTTATTTTATAGATGCAATTAATTATAAATGATTTTTTGAAACGAAAAATTTATGTTACAGGCAGGTAATCTTAGGAGAACAACAAAACAAGATCTTTCGATAAATATTGCGGCTCTCATCACCTGAGAGATTACCCATGCTAATGATAAATTTCTCATTTTGATTTCCCATTTATTCCAATCATGATCAAATCGCGGCTTCATACAAAAGCACAAGCATTGGAGTACTTATCCAAAATTGCGGGTTCGAATCACCCAGTGACACAAATTTTTCATTTAGAAAAATCAAGTATAATTAACTGAATATGCAAGATAACTGACAAGATTCACTTTTTATAAAAGATGGTTTTACTGATAGATTTTAAAATGAATCCAGTAGCTTTTCGGGTCCAAGGGTGAGAAGAAATGTGAATAGAACCATCATTTACAAAAAGTCAGGACGATCGACGTTATGTGCTCATTTTTTTCATTTTTACTTTTTTTAAATTTATTTATTTACTTTTAAATAAAGACATTAATAAAATAAAATACATATATTTCATGATATACTTTATTTCGGCTACTACAAATTGATTTTTTCCCTAACTATTACTGAATTCACCAACCAACTTGTTTTTCAAATGGGACCCTATTACTTTTCCCCCCAGATTTTTGATAAGTGTAGAATCCTGAAAGCACACAAAAAGAATTTTATATATCAGACATGTTTTTCAAAATTTATTCTCAATTTTGTGTGAAAAATAAGTTATTCCCCTATAATCAACACTTTCATACAAATGTTTCAATCTCAAATTTGTGTAAAAAACAAAAACATTTTAAAAAATTATTTCTACATTACTAACAAAAATGAATTATTAATCAAATAAGAAAAAAATAGACAACAAATTATGGTAAAAGAAGCTGTTGATAAATGTGTTGTTGGTAGTTTTGTAATAAAAGGTAGATAAAAATTAAATAAGTATCTCTTGGCTTAAAACCAACGACAGTCCTTGTCAACAAGGTTGTTTAAGAAATAATTCATTTAGAAATATTAATTGAGAATTTTTTTAAAATATGTTTTTATTATTTACATAAAACTGAGACATTGAAACATGTTTAAGATGTGGAATTATAGAGGAGCAATTTACTTGTCACACAAACTTGGGAATAAATTTTGAAAGGCATGTAAGATTTTAAAAAAAAATCTTTTTTTATGTATTCAGGAGTGGTATCAAAAATTTGGAAAAAAGTAATAGAGGTCCCCTTTGAAAAATAAAATTGGTTGGTGTATTCTGCAATATTCAGATAATAAATCCATCATATTAGCCAAAATAAAGTACATCAGAAACCATGATATACTTGCATTTTATTTTATTGATTTTTTAATTTGCCTTCATAAAAAAAGTGGGTGGAGCATATAATGTATCACCCTGTATATAATAAACACATTTTCCCCTCACGATTGTTTTAAAAAGATTGATCCAAAGGGTGGAGGTGGCCAAAGTGGTTAAGGCTTTGACACACCGCTCATCAAGGAAAAGATCCCGAGTTCAAATTCAGGGCTGCTGGATATACTTATAAATGTGCTTTTCTTTAAAAAAACATTGAAAGCCCAATGGTTTATATAACATCCTAGTTGAAATACCCTCATTAAAAAAAAAAAGAGAAACAAAATAAAAAATTGACTCACTTTTCTGGAACTTTAGCACTCAATAGAGTTGGGTAGCCTAGAATTTTTTTAATATGAGGAAGCATAGTTTTCAAAGACACCTCATTAGGCTCGCTTGTTTTACGATCTGGTGGGTCACTCAGAGCAAAACTTACTCCATATGGCTTATTAAAAACAACAATTCCTGGAAAATTAATTTATTAAACTACAGTCATTTATAAATTATCACATCTATTCAAACAACAATAATCATGATCATTTGACCATCCTGATTGAAGCAAATCGTGCCAGCTAGTGTATATACACTAAAGAAAGCTCAGCTAGCGAAAGCCAACCAACCGCTTTGTTGATTGTAATTTGCTAGCCTTGGTTGAGTTCCGACCTCTAGCAGTAACATCAGGGTTTACTGTGGCACATGGCTGAATCCCTTGGCCCCAACTCCTTGGTTTGATGAGGATGAGCCAAGGATGGCCAATGTGCTGGCGACCAACATTTGGCTCAATATATTCATTGACCGAGATTTGCTTAGTGTCTACCTATAGGCACACCACGATTATCAGGCACCTTCAAACTATAATTTCAGCTACATCGCAGACCCTGACATTTTAATCTGGCTATAAAAAAAATATATACATTTCCCTACAAAACAACTTGCTTGTATATTATCACTTATTATTATTTGATTACTGTCATTGCTTTCTTTTATGTTTTTATGTTCACAAAAACATTTATAGATACATTTTCAACCGGTTCCTTAAAATGTTAACATAAAATGAAACCTAGGGCCAACAGTGTGCAAACATAGATACAGATAATTTCAATAATAAATTTGGCTTGAAAATTACCATTTTCGTTGTAAATTAAATTGTTGCATAGCCTCTCAGCTAACTCACTGGAAGGGCAGTATGAAGTCTTATAAATATGTTGACACCTGACAGAATTCCTTAGCACAGAAAATAATTTATTTTGAAAAATCATAACAATAGCTTTATATAACAATAGGAGTTTAACAGTAAGGCAAAGTGATTAAATAGTGAAATGAAATTTAGTTAAAATTAAACAGCAAAAACTACCGCAATAACCGATAACAGGAGGTGTTCTTACACTTCTGAATTCTGATAACTTTCGATACATTTCTTTATAATATCAGCAATATCGATAACAAGGTTATCGAAATGTATAAATATATATTAAAAACTTTTTTTAAATTTTTAGCTAGTTTAATTGTCTGTAATATAATGTATGTTGTTGTGTATTTTTTTTGTTTTCCAGCCGTTTAAACACTCCAACAAATACACGACATACATTTTATATTTATTACTTGTACATCTAGATTTCCAATTTATAATTTAAATATTGCCTATAGAAAATATTTTTTATATAATATATGTATTCATAAATCATGTAAATATTTGCTTTATACAACGAATTAAATAAGATTGGAATCAGAGGGAAATTCAAAAATAGCCTCTTCCCAAAAAAATCTACAGTCAGTAAAGAAAGTCTTCAAACAATTATAATAATATATTTTACGGAATTAATCCAATTTACAAAAATGTTTAAACATACAAAAATAAAATATAACAATATAAAAGGAAAAGTGAGAAAAAGGAAAAATTACTAAAGTAGTAAACAATATGTAAAGTAAAAAAATAGCTTAAAAGAAAAAATTTTCCATAAATCCAAGAATCCAAGAGATTCTACTTGCTATAAAAAATAGTACGAGTACAGCAGTTAGTTTTTTGTGGGTCCCAGGTCACTGTGGTATAAAAGGCAACGAGGAGGCTGACCGAGCAGCGNAAGTAAAAATAAAAGTATTTTGTGCATACTTACTTGAATTATATTAAGTAAAATATTTAATTAAAAATAATATTAAGTTAAATATGGAATTCAGTGAAATGGAAGCAAACATTTTAAATTAAAATAACGGGCTAAATTGATTATTACAATGTCTTGCAATGATAAACTTTAATCAACAAGAAAAATTGTAGTAGCATGTAATATGATACATACATACAAATTATACAACAATGTATATATGTTAATCCATATATAGTTAGCGGTCATAATTGACCATATTAATTATTTCAATTAGTTATCTTTTTATCTAAGGTTGAGTTGAAAACGTACATGTATAGAGTTATATGTTTCAAGCTAAAGTCTATGAATACATTATTTTTCATGTTTATTTACTGACACTTATATAAATTTTATGATTAAATATTAATTATTTTATTAAAATATTATTAATTAAAATGAAAAAGTTAGTATAATCTAGAATCACACCTGTGTATCGTACACAGTCCCGCTAACATAGTACAATCGTTAATAAAAAGTGTTTCTATATGAAGGCATGATTTGCTTACAATTGGAATAAAATGTGGAGTCAAAATTGGAAGTTTTTGGCATGGGCGATCAAAGTCATGATTGCTCAAGTGTAGAGCAGTGGCATAGGTAAGGTCATGGGTACGAATCCCACTTGTGACACAAATTTTTCATTTCGAAAAAATTGTGTATAATTAATTGAGTAATTATATAATAAAGCATAAACTGATAAAAATAATTAAAAAAAAACACATAATTATTCATTTATCAAAGTATTTATTTAATATTATGAATATTTTTTAACATTTATACACATCTTTTATAAAATTAGTACATCTTAAATTGTTTAATATTATTAATTCATTCTTCTTAGAAGAATTATACCACCTCTATTATGTTATTGTTACGTACTAGTATCAAACTGCAACTTTTTTGGCTGAATAGCTGAAAGTAAATATTACAAGTTATAAAATGATTAAAAAATTTAAATTAATATGTGGTGATTAGTGACCGTTAATCGATACTTATTCAGAAATCGTGAGATGCAGTCTGGTGTGATGTAGGTTTCAGAAAAACATTTTCTTTATCATGTCAATGTTTCGATCTCAATAAAGAAAATGTTTTTCTGAAACCTACATCACAATAGACTGCATCTCACGATTTCTGAATAAGTTTAAATGAATAAATCACAATACAAACCTCCTAGATTAGATTCTATTAGTTTCCTTTTTGAGCCTGGTTTCGCTTGTTGTTGTCTTAAAGAGCTAGGCAATGGAAGTTGAGATCCAGGAGAAGGAGCTGGTTTATTACTGCAATAAATAATGTAAAAAATAATGCAAATATTAATATCAGTTTGTAATATGTATTTATGCCATTGCAGAATTAGTTAATCATGAATGTTAAAAGTACAACAACATATTACATAGAGGCTAGGATTTCAATACAATTTTATCATGCAACAAAAACTTTATTTTGAACAGTACAAAGCAAAATGAAATAAAATACAATAAATCTAAGTAGAAATCATTTTTTTGTTTGATACAATATGGTCAAATAATTGCAAAAATTCAACCCTCTTGTTTAAAAAATATTAACTGTGGATTTTAAGAATTCTTTTATGGCTAGATGAAATTACTTCAAAAAATGGCCAACAATCATGGTCACTAAATATTCTAAATTACCTAAAATATGGCATTTTTAAGGCTTGAGGACAATTAATTCTTTCCCTTGGATTAATCGCTAGCAGTGATTCAATAACATCTAGTAAATCATCTCCCGCAGCTGTAAATATCTGCTTTAAAGGTGTCCCAGGGAAAGTTTTAAATTGTATATAATCTTGTAAAGATGTCACTCCCTGAAACGTAGAGTTTAAAGTCCAACATTTAGCGGAATTTAATAAAATTGAAGAACTCACTGGCCATGTTTGTTCCGTAGGAGTACCAAGTGTAAAGAATATTCTCGTCAGCTGGTCCAAATCAGATTCCCCTGGGAGGAAAGGGACTCGTAAGAGCAGTTCTGCAAAAATACAACCTACTGCCCACATATCAACACCAGTCGAGTACATTCTTGCGCCGAAGAGTAACTCTGGAGATCTTGATTGCTTCATTAATAAATGGCATAATTTTTAAATAAAATGTTCAAATATTGAAAACACACACCTGTACCATCGAGTGACAACTTGATGGGTGTAAATTCGATTGGGAGAACCGTAAAACTTTGCTAAACCAAAATCACCAATTTTAAGTACTCCATCACCATTTATTAAAAGATTGTTAGGTTTCAGATCCCTATGAAGGATCCAATTGTTATGTAAATATTCCAATCCTAAAAGTGTCATTAGAGTGTAAGCTTTAATGTGTGCTGGTGTAAGGACTATGCTTGTATCCTTGATTATTACTTCTAGATCAGTATCCATAAAGTCAAAAACCAATGATACATTAGATTTGTGGCCAAAAATATCTGAAATTTGTAAATTTATTATATTAGTGCTACATTTCCAATAGTATTACTAAATAAATTTTAGAATTTTATAAATAACACGCCTAAGAGTCCTATGATATTAATATGTCTTATTTCTTGTAGAAGTTTTATTTCCCTTAAAGCAGTCCTGTTTATTCCATCTCTCGCCTCGGCCTGGCTTCCAACTTTTATCTAAAAACAAAATAAAAAGTAAATTCCATACAGTTTAATTAAATTAATGTATGTAACTATGTAGCAAAACGATGTTAGGCCTGTGTTTTTATTTAATGATTTGTAGTGTTACAAATTTGTGAAAAGTACTTACTTTTTTGACAGCAACGATCATATCTGTTTCAACATCTCTGGCTTTGTAGACAGTAGCAAACTAAAAAACACGAATAACTAAAATTAGATCACAAATATTTAGCAGATCTGAAATGGTTAGGGATGATGATCTTACTGTGAGTAGGAACTATCTTTTTAAAAAGGATTGATCTGAAATGTGTTATAATATCCAATTTAAAACTAATTACTAAATTATTTATAATGTAAATGTTATTATAATATATAAATTAATTATACTTTTCATCTCAACCAAGAACTTAGATTAAAAGTATAATTAAAATAATTAATATGGTCAATTATGACTGCTAAATGCATATAATAATAATGCATAAAAGTAAAGATAAGAAACTCTTTTTTTTTTTTTTTTTTTTTTTTAGAATTTTGTCTGTTTTTCTAATTTTTAGTTACAGTTTGATCCTTTTGCTTAACATCTAACTACTTTTACCATCATAACTATAATTGTGAATGAAAGATCAGAAAATTCTAAGGACAACAGTGGGTATAAAATAAAAGTGGGGTTCAGTAGTAGGTGTATCTATTATTTATGAGCAGACAGACATCTAGTGATCATCACCAGCCCACTGCTTTAAACTGATTTTTCGCATCTTTGTCACTGACTCTCTCACATTTTTTTAATAAGCAAATCTTTCTTAGTTACTTCTTGTTGTTAAATTACTATTAAAAGAAGAAGAAGACACATGTAATACAACAACATAAATATTATCATGTTTCCCACCCTAAGAGGAACCCACCACTCAATGTGCTGACGAAGAGTCGGCACATGCCACCAAAAACACACCGTGGACCCTAGTCAGATAGCCAAAAGTGCATATCTGGTGGTACTGAATATTCCGAGAGTGTCGAATCTATTCACCCCCCAAAACAAGACTGGTCACATTCACTCATCACCAGCCTTTTTTTTTTTTGTCTTTCTCATATTTAATGCTACTAATTTCTTTTTCTGTTTCTCCAGCCAAGTTATAATTAGACCTTTTCCCCGCTGACATCGATACCTTTCAACTGTGTATTTTTCTAATTAATTGTTTGGGGATCTTTTTCTGTCAATGATCCCGAGCATGAGGGATATGGCATTCAGTTCCACCATACATGCACATGCTGACAAGAGTGGTGACAGCGTTTAAACAACATTAATTATTTTAAAAACAAATTTATCAAAAACTGGAAAATGAGTCAAAACTTATATCCAGGCAAGAGCAATGAAACAACAGTATCAACTGGTTGTAAAGTCAAAACCAAAATTAACAATATTAAAAAATGATTATAAAATATCTTAAATATTTTGATATAATTTTACCTGTCCTTCTCCCAAAAATTCTATTTTTTCATACCGCCTCCACCTATCTTCTAATTTATAGTCCATTTTGGAAATATAACGAGTGCTTTTGAAATTAAAAAAAATTAAAGGTTTTTATGAACATCTCGTGGCATCGTTTTTATTAATATTTTTAATAAAAATCTTAATAAATAAATTTAAATAGACAATAATTGGATGTGGAGAACCAGATAAGAACCTCTCAAACATAACACGCCTTGTGTACCTACGTATTGAAAATATCGATGGATAGCTAGACAGTTTCGATTTCAGTTTTATCTAGTATCACTGAGTTTAATGTTTATGCCTTATGGTGCTGGTTCTAATGTACCGTATCTGACACGTTGTATCTATGGATTCTATGTGTGATTGTTCTTTGGAAATTCTGGCCATAGGAAAATTTGAACAACACTTCCATTTACTTAACTATGTGATTTCTCCCTGTTGATAATTTGGTTTTACCAGTTTTCTTTTAATAAAAACAATGCTCTCGACAATTGACCCAGACAAATTATTCGAAGGGAGCTCCGTTGAGGAGATTGACGAGGTGCAAAAGCTGATATGTATTGAGATTGAAAAGAAGAAGGAAGAGTTGAGGACACTTGTCGGGTAATTTGATTATTAAAATATCTTGACACAATTTCAAGTATGAACATTAAAATCTTTTAAAGTATTTTTTTAAACCAATTATTTTAATTAGCCTTAAGTAAAATATTGTATTTCTTCCTGGAGGCTCAGCATATTTTGTGAATGATTAAACAGGACAGAAATTTTTATTTGCAAATATACAGGGCGTTCGGCTACTCGTGTTACAAATTTTGCCAGTAGATTCTACATTCAAAATGGAACCAAAAAGTTCTAACTAACTATTTTTATTAAGTTCTGTAGTTTCATTCAATTATCCACTCCAAATTATTTTGTGAGATTGAGTCAAACTTAAAATGTAATAAATTGTCCATTTTAAAAGAACTCTCTCTCTCGAAGAAATAGAGGGGTATTTAAAAAAAAATACAATTGGGCAGTTTCTATTAATCTGCTTTCTGTTGGTGAGGAAATTATTTCACATAATAGTCTGTGTCGGAAAATTACAATTTAAACCTTCAGTGGCAAAATATTCAAATCATCTTTGCTCCCTGGATATTCATTTGACTTAAGTCTTGGCTGTATACTAATGTAAATACTACCTGTATATGCAAATAAAAAAAATACATCACCGATTCTCAAACCCATTGCTCAATTTGTAATCAGTAGGAGTTAAAATCGTTGGAGCATTTCCTTTTAATTTATCCTGTATATGACATGACACAATCGAGGGAAAACTTTTTTCTTAACTACCTCCCAGACAATGTTACTTTGACTTATGCCGTAAAACATTAGAAGAGGCTAATAATTTTTATTAGTTTATAATTTCATCACTAAAACTGAAACAATTTATTGTAGAAAAATAATTTAGTTCACATGTAAGGCAAAGTGTAACTTATTTTAATTTAATTTTTTTTAAAATTTTATTTCCTTTTGCTTTCATTTTCAATCATCAGTACTGAAGATAATTTTCTTCTTTTTAAATTCTCTTCATTATTATCAGCCTAGACCTAATGAAAGTATCTAATTTGCCACTGTGCTGGGTCTAAAATTGGCAATATGCTGAAACATGTCTGAAAACTAAACAAGCGGGGATAGGCATACCATACAATAAAAATATTACTCAGTAAATAACTTGTGAACGTCAACACAGTATAAGTTTATAAAAAGATCAGTTTAATAACACAGTTCAGTAGGTGAACATGATGAAGAGTGCGGTAGAATCTTGTCTTTAAAACATTTTATCATAAACATTACTATCATGAAACTGTTGAAGATTGATTTTTTTTTTCCGTTTGAAGGGAGAGATATAGAGACTTTATAGAAGCTGCTGACACGATCAAGGAAATGAAGGAACTCTCTCTTAGGATTATTAAAGATGTCGAGAAAATTAATTCATTAATGGTTGATCTTCAAAAAAATCAGCGAACATACAAGCCAGAACATCGCCAAAAGGAAAGGTAAATATTAAATCACATTTTTATATCAAAAGAAACAAAAAATGTATGTATTTAGAACTAGCTGTGATTCGTTAATGGATTCTATTGCTGCACAAATTTCTATTCTTGTTGAGCTTCCGGAGCTTATTTGGACTGAAATTGGCGTTAAAAACTTTGTCAAAGCTACACAGCTTTATCTTCTTGGGCGTCACATTAAAACAGGTAAAAACATGCTATAAGTATCTACTCAAAAACACTGGCGATACGATAACTCTTAAAGAGCGTATTATAATACACCCTGACTAATACATCTACATCTACTCTATAAACAAACAAAAAGTTAAGTATGGGAAAAGTAGAAGTACATTGGGAACTAAATCATGTTTGTATGAATGGGAAAGTAAAAATCAAATAAAATAATGTTTACATTTTCAAGGTTTTACTGCGGACAAAAGTCTCAAACAGTTCTCAAACCAGCTGCCAGTTGTTGAACAACAGTGGTCTGTATTGTCTCATTTTTCAAACACAATTCTAAGAGAGGCAGAAAATGACTTGAAAAAAATTAATTTAAGCAATCAGGTGATAACGCTGTTGAGTGATAGTCGTATGGATTGATTAATAAAGCATTGATTTCAGGAAGCTAGTATGTGCCTTGCAACCATTGCTATTCTTCAGGACACGTCTTTGGTTTCAAAATTTCTCTCTTTGAGAAGTGACGCCCTGAATTCTCTGTTGGTCAGTGATGGTGATGTGAAGAAACAAATTTTGGATAGTTGTTTTTCCATTATCACATCATTATCTCTCCTGTATTCATTAATTTTAGGTATGAAAACATTATATTTAACAATAACACAATTTATGATAAAATTTATCTTTCAGAACCTTGGGAATCAGGGAAAGGGCTTGTATGGAAACAGCTTCACAATTCTTTAGCAAATAATCAAAATCCTATTAATTTATTGCAAGAGAGTATTAAGATTTCATTTTTACCACCGGTTGTCCTTCATTTCAAGTAAGGGTATAATTATGTAATTAAGTTATGACATTAGAATTTCCATTTTTTTTATAGAATAAAGCCACTTAGTAAAAATGATTTAGAGATTGAAAAGTTAGAGAGAGTTATTGCTGATTGGTTGGACAATATAAAACAAATCGTCTCTATAAAAGGAAAGATGCTTCTCAATAAAATCAACATCTTGCATAATTTAAACGAAATAAGTGTAAAACATAAAGTAAGCATTTCACAAAGGAAAACTTCTTATTTCGGCTAATGATATATTTATGCTGTTCATGAAATTGTATGTAACTCATACATTTTTTATATATTTTTCAGACATATTGCTCTGCGTCTGATTGGGAACAGCTGTTAACAACATTTAACATCAAGAACAAATTTGACCTGTGGGATGGAGTTTTCAAACCTTTGATCGTATCAAGGGCCAAGGAATTAATATCAATCCAGTACGATGAAACATTTCGCAATGTCATTAAAAAAATTCAAACTTCAGTATCAGAAGAGGATGTGTAAGTGTTTCAAGTTCTGAAGGTTTTTCTTACTCAGTTGAATGTTTGTTTTTTATGAAAATCTGTTGACAGAAAAAGGTCAGATTTAGATTTAAGATGGTTTATTTGGAAGGAAACATCCGATGATTTAGATATGTCTACCAATAATTCGAGTCTATCAAAAGGTTTATTTTATAATAGTACTCTTAAAATACAAAGAAAACTAACCATCCAGTTAATATAATTTCAGGAATCAGCTTGAAATCAAAGGGAATAACACCAAAAGTTTATGAAATTTGTAATGCATTTGAGCAAAAGCTTGATAGTTTATATCGAGATCTCTCTGGTCTGTACAGACCTGATGACATCCTTGATCCTGATAGCAATGAATTAAAAAACCATCAACAGGCTATTTGTTCTTCCATGATACAAAAGTAAATTAATTATTTTAAAAGAGTTGACACTATTGTTTTTTAAATAAACTATTTTAGATTGATCAAACATATTCATGACATAGTTAACAAGGATTCTATAAATGAAGGCGATGTATTGATACTAGCTAGGTTCCTTCAAGCGGTTCCGGAAATATGCCCTATGCTTCAAAAGTGCCTTATGCTTGGGGAAAATAAAGTAAGTTTAATATGATGGTTTAGTATATTAACTGGCTTATAATAATTTCTTTTTAGGATAATGCTTGGCAAATACTAAAAATGTTTAATTCAGAGAGTTTGTATTGTTGGAGCATATGGGAGAAAAAATCTTTACTAAGATTCAACAAGTACATACCAGAAGTTATGAAAACACCAGCTACATATGCGGATCTCTTAACTTCCATTCCTGTAAGAGGGTCTTTACTAAAAATTGAAATTTTGAAAGGCACTAAATAACACTTTCTCTTGCAGCAATGGGACATGATTTGTATTGAAGATGAAGAAGAAGGTAGTGACAAGCAGAAATCAAAACTGAGAGTGCCATCTGCTCCCAGCCTTCCTTTACAGTCTGCTTTGCAGCAAGTAATGACAGAGATCGGGAAAGCTCATGTGCCAAAGTAAGTTTGTGAATCTTTTGTCGATTGTTTCCAAACATCCTGGTTTCAGCATTTTTGCTATCTTTAGTAGTCATTCTTACAGACAAGATAGAGAAAAGCTGAAACACTTCTGATGGATACAGTCAGAAAGACCTGTAAGGCTTCATAATTTTTTTGAACTTGTATGTGCACAATATGAGTCCATTGTCAAAATTTTAGGTTGATTGCTGAAAACATTATGCAAAAAGTTGTTCCAATATTGTTGGATTGTTATAACACAGAAACACAATTGTGCCAGGCACAATCCCTTCAGAGCCTCTTTGACATCAAATACATTACAGCTCAGTATATTCCTTTAACAAATAAGGTATATCCACATTTTAACCAATAAAAATGGATTAAAAATAATTTTGAAGAAAATTTTGACAATTTTATAGCTATGATAATTTACATAATAATACATATTTTTCTAGGAATTAAATTTACTTTGTCAAACAAAAATATCTAAACTTGAAAGTACAATAGACCCAATTGATTTAGAGGTCTTTTCTCCATTAATAAGAACAAATATAAAAGCTGCAATAGTGAAGACTCAGGTATCTACTCATTATTATTTGCTAATAATATTATAATTCAATTTATGCCACTTTAGGGCATGTTTGGTTTGAAATTTCACTCTGAGGAAAGTACAGGGATAAAAATGTCTGATGATGCATGCATTCTTGCCATGAGTAAATCTTCAGCTAAAACATGGTTTCCGCTTTTGCCAATTACAAACCCTACAAATAGGCTGTATCAAAGTAATAAGCCAAAGGTGAGTTAATACACAAAAAAATTATTATGATACTTTTATGACAGTATCTTACAGTATCTGTAATTTTTTAGGTGATGAAAGTTGACAAACATTCTAATGAGACTGAGGCATCTAAAATTCAAAGTTCATCCTCATTTTTCTATGAATGGTTTAGCTAGTTTTACTGTGTTATTTAAACAATGATTTTTTTTCATATAGCTTGTATATAAAATATTGTTTGTGTTTTACAATTATTCATGGTTCCATTTGATGAATAACATCATGACAGTTTTATTTTGTGATACTGTAAGATGGCTATTGCATTGATTGATCTTTTGTTATTGCAACCAACTATAAATAATATTATAATATTAATAATTTTGCTCAGTTTTATTTCTTTTTTCCTTATTTCTTTATATACAGAATCGTTATTTGATTTATCAATTTCTAGCATTTTTAAGAGCAGTTACAGTTGTTTTGTATAATAAACAAGGAAAAAAAAACTTTGGGCACTATAGATCAACCATATTGCACAATTGATTGTTATTGATGGTTTAGTATATGCCTTGAGAAATCGGATCGTTTTATTGTTTAATCCATATTCTTTTTAATACAGTTTCAACATGTTGTGGTTAAAGGACAATATTTGAGTTTAATGATTTATGAATTGGAAGAAGGTGAAAATCAATAAACTTTATGAAAATAATTATTTGGAGATTGTGAGATGCCGTCTGGTGTGGTGTAGGTTTTAGAAAAACATTTTCTTTATCATGCCGTTCAATCTTTATTGAGATCATCTTCAGGGCCTGGGATTTATAAACATTGTTTAAATTGTAAAAATACATGTCGGATGTTGAAAAAAGTGAATTTATACAATGCAAAAAATATTTTTTTAATATTCAATCAATGTATGGTAAGTACTCAACTAGGGGGGGGGGAACCATAGATGAGTGAAAGCACAGATAATGAAAGCATGGATAATGAGACTACTGTATTTATAAATTATAAACACCGTGTCATTAGCAAATAGAGCCAGCTTAAATTATAATATACAGTTTCCTATGTGTCTCTATATTTGTCCCAGTGCCTTACATTCTGCGGAGATTCCCAAATGGGAATCTTAAACAGGGCTTTGTAGAAATTAAGTTTGTTGTAAATACTAAGATTAGACATAAGAATATTTTGGCTAATTGTTGGGAAATCGTATTGTGCAGGATTGGGCAATTGGAAGTAGCCTGGAATCTCGGGAGCCGACCCTGTCTTTCTCGAGAACTCCAAACGCTAAACAAAGCTGGCAAAATGATAACAGCTGGATGTTTTCGATTAAGAAATGTGGGTTGATCCTGGGCAATCGCCCTAGAAAAATTGACTGTTGTGCTAACGAGCGGCCTTATTGGTCAACCCCAGGATTAGCTAATGCCCAGACTCTTCCGGAATGGCTCGATGACCTGGAGAGGACAAGGGCAGTCGAGTCACCCGGAAGCATAGCAGTATTTCCTAAGTGTAGCTGTTCCCCACCTCCTGAACGGATTGAAACAAAAATAATCGGAGTAGAGTTCGTAGTAGAGTCTGCAGTCCGTAGTCCGGGAGTCCCGTGGAGACAATGAGGATTTGAAAAGAGAGGTGGTCAGTGGAGAGCTATCGCATTCGGGGCGGCCCCTGCAGGCCATAGGAATAGGCAAGGAAAAGTTGAAGTTTAGAGGGACGCTGAGAGAAATGTTGAGAGGGACGCCGAGAGGGATGCCGAGAGAAACGTCGGAAAAAACGGAAGTCTGGAACATACTGACAAACTGTAAAGTGAAAAACCTTTAGTTTACAGTAGTTGAAGAATTCTATTATAAAACTTCATATAACGGGAGATCATTTGAATCTGATTTATGATATAATTATAAACTAGTTAATTGTGATATTCCTTCCTGAGGTCTGAGGGATTTGAGGGACCGAGGTCATTCTCGGTCAATTCATGGCTGTACTGTATCAGTAGTAGTGAAAAGAGACTAAGCGGACCAGGTCCAATTTGGTCGTTTTAAAGGCGACAGATTGCAAAAAAATCACAGACTGACCGAAAAAGCTTCCATACTGAATATTAAAATGTAAAACATTTACCAGAGGGTTGGGGAACGTTATATATCTCCATTAATTGACCATTTAAACGAAAGACCAGGATTGAAAATAAAAGTAAACAAGAAACTTTTTTTATTTAACAAACGCATTTTACGCATGTTATTTATTTTTGTTCCAGTTTTTTTTCTATCATTGGAAAGTTGCATTTTGCATTGTTGTTTAATAAAAATATTTATTATTTTTAAAAAAGTTCCCGTTTACAGTGAGTTGAGAGAACCCGTCCAACCAGAGACTTTCTAATCTTTGAGCTTTTCATAATTCATTTGAGATATTGTAAGTCCAATTTGAAATTGAATTTTATCCAAATACCCTTTATATTATTTTTCCGCCGTTTTTAATTATATTCTATGATTGTTTTAAGCACAGGGGAAATTAGAATAAAAGAAATAATTTGAAATGATAATTCGGTATTATCATGACTACCTTGATCGTTGAGAGAGATTCTTGTTCTGAAATTCTTTCACCCAAACTTAAAAAAACCACCCAAAAAATGAGTTTTTATGCCAAAAACAGTTATTGGTTTTTTAAAAATTGTTTTGTATATCCTGGAGAAAATGAGTTTGTATTGAGTATTATCAAAAAGGACGGCACAATCGGTTGCAAGCTGGAACCCGCCAGAACAAGCAGGAACGGAACCAGTCTTTGGCCAACGGTCTTAGCTTTTGGTCTTTTACTTTTTAACAAGTTTCGTTGAATTAAGTATATTATTTACCCTATTTTTAAGGTAATTTTGTCTGTTTATCGTTTATTAATTGCCATTTAACTCCCGCTCGTGGTTTAACCTGTATACACTGAATTTACAATCCTGATTATAACACTGATTCTACTAACGACTGTTTTAATAAAAAAGCTTGTTTGACGAGCTGCCACTTGTTGAACATTTCTTGACATTGTGAAAGATTTTGATACACCACGTATGATTTTTAAGTTCTATCTTACAATACAGTTGTCCAAAAGTTCAACATTTCAAGTATAGGGAAGCCTAACTGTGATCCTTTTGGAATGAACCATCGGTCGATCTTTCGNAAACAAAATTATTAGAACATATAAATTGTAGAAGTATGCACAAATGGAAATTTTACTATAGTCATCTCGTCTGCGCAGACTCACACGGCAAATCTTTTTCTTTCTTTTACTTTCGCAGATCAAAAGCCGACTCCTCACCATTTCTCCCAGAGCCTCCTCCTTTCCCACTCCTGCTTGCATTGTACTATGGGGATATCTCAGCAGTAGGGGTTTGGCGAACAATTTGAAAGTTCACCGTTATACACATTTCTCAAAACATAAAACCATCATAAAAGATAGCCAAATGCTGAAATACATCTGACAGACCAAAAGAGCAAAAATATGAAGGCCAAAATTTCAAAAGATCTCCAGTTTTTTTAATCCAACCGACTGCAACTAGAGATCTAACAAAGATCTAAGAAATCTATGTTTATTATTCATTGAAGAACTGTTAGAATTACATCCATGAAGGAGAACAACTGCGCTAAGAAATATTTTTGTAATAAAAGATTGACATTTTCTGAGCAATCTGCCTCTTGTTAAACATTTATTAACTGATTTGGGGTATGATGAACAAACTGCTTGCTTGTGACTAACACATAACATGATTTTAAAGTTATATTAGGATTCAGACGTCTCGCATAAAGTTGAAACAATCTTTATTATTTAGTTTGGTTGGATCACTTTTGGCTGGCCAGTATTGATTGGCTGTATGTTTTTATGTTATTTATAGTTTATGTGATGATAAAGTCAAGGAAGTTATGCTGCTGTTCCAGTTTCCACAATCGATGTTGTTATTTTTTTATGCACATAGTAATCATTAGAATTATTGTGATCATGACATACAAGCAATGAGCCAAAAGAAAAATGAAAATAGCTAGACTTAATCTATCAAAAACATCAAGCATTAAATTAAAAAATTAACACTGCCAGATCCTGAATTACATCAGACAGTGAAAAATAGAAAAGATTATATGTCAATCTCGCCGCAAACCTTCAAGAAGGAATCTAACAATTTTTTACTTCAATAAAAACAGTTGTGGTTAGAGAAATTTTTCCTTAATAAAAAGAGGAAAATTTTTTGAGCAATGTGCAACATGAACATTTATTGACTGTGATTGTTTCTTGAAGCCCATCATCGCCAAAGCCATGTTTCTAAGACAATTCTGTCTTGATAAAACAGCATTGGCGACAAAAGCCCGGTGAACATGAAAGTCAGAGATTGCCGTTTATCTCTTCGTCTTATCAATTGCTCCTACCAAATTCAGCAAACTTGACAAAACTATTATTACTCATATTTGAATATTAGCCAAAATAAATATTATGTGCCATTCGGTGTCTGCTTTATGTTATAATAAACTTTAGTACCCAATGCTTCGTTTTCATTTCAATACAGTATGCTAAAACTGACTCGCTAACATAAATGTGTGCCACAATACAGCCCCACACAATTTTATAATTGAGAATAATATGCAAAAAGCATTGTACAGTGGTTTGACTCATCCACAACAGAATTCAAAACCAGTTGGATATTAAACATTCCTGTATGACAGGAATTACTTTTTTTTTTTTTTTTTACTAAAAAATGTTTTTAAATATTTAGATGGATTCAGTAAAGGTTGCTGTACGAATTAGGTCACTTGTAAAATCGGAAACTGAAAGTGGCTGTCGCTCTTACATTGAGAGGACTCTCAGGTAAATATTTTTAATCTGATAATTCAGAAATTGTATATTAATGCGTAGTAAATCAAAATTAGATCTCAATCGGAAAAGCTAGTCAGATGTTCACGTTTAATTATGTCCTCGATGAGTTCGAGGGACAAAGCAAGGCCTACAATTGCGCAGTGAAGCATCTTATTGAAAATCTATTCAAAGGTATTTACTTTTTTAAAAATATTTTTAATATCCAGCTGTTAACTAGGTTCTAATGTATATTTGATTTATTAGGTTATAATTTGACTATCCTCACATACGGTCAAACAGGTTCTGGCAAAACATACACTATGGGTACAAATTATTCCGGAGACCTCGAGCTGGGCGTAATTCGTAGAGCGGTTTATGATATATTTGATACAATTGGAACAAAGACTGATTATTCGTATAGAGTGACTTGCTCATTTTTAGAAGTAAGTAGACTGATAATATTCAAGTCGCCTGGATTTTTCAGCTGTTTTATTTTTATGATGTAAAAAATATTTTATTTGCCTAGTTGTATAATGAAAGTCTCTATGATTTGCTGACTAACAAACCGCGT